TGCAAGAAAATGAAACTAGACCATAAACTTACACTATACACAAAAATAAACTCAAAATGGATAAAATATGTAAATATGACTCATGAATCCATAAAAATCCTAGAAGAAACTGTAGGCAAGAAAATTTCAGACATCATACGCAGCAGAATTTTCACTGATACATCACCAAGGCCACAGAAACAAAGGAGAAAATGAACACATGAGACTATGTCAAACTCAAAAGCTTCTGCACAGCAAAAGATACAATCATCAAAATGGAAAGGCAACCCACTATATGGGAGAGAATAATTGCCAATGATATATCAGATAAGGGGTTATTTCCAATATATATAGAGTGCTCATACAACTCAACAAAAGGACGACAAAGAATCCAATTAAAAAATGGGCAGAGCCCTGGCCAGTTTAGCTCAGCAGTTGGAGTGTTGGCTTGAGGTCTGGAAAGTCCCGGGGTTTGATTCCCGCTAAAGGCGTGTACCTCTGTTGCAGTTTGTCCCGGGCCCTGGTTGGGTCGTGTGGGTGGCAACCACTCGATGTGTCCCTTTCACATCAATGTTTCTCTCTCTCTCCCTCTCCCTCCCACTCTATCTGAACAAAATATCAAAAAAGAAAAAAAAATGTTCTAGGGTGAGAATAAAAAAAAGAAAAAAAAAATGGGCTGAGAAACTAAATAGACACCTCTCCAAACAGGACATACAAAAGGCTAGGAGACATATGAAGAAATGCTCAACATCACTAATCATCAGAGACATGCAAATTAAAACAACAATGAGGTATCACCTCACACCTGTCAGAATGGCCACCATCAACAAATCATCAAACAAGTGTTGGCGAGGGTGGGGAAAAAAGGGGACTCTAGTACACTGCTGGTGGGAATGCAGAATGGTGCAGCCACTATGGTAAACAATATGGTGTTACCTCCAAAAATTAAAAATTGAACTGTCATTTGACCCAGTGTTCCCACTCCTAAGAATATACCCTAAGAATCTTGAAACATCAATCAGAAAGAATATATGTACCCCCATGTTTGTAGCAGCACTATTTACTATAGCTAAGATCTGGAAACAGCCCAAATGTCCATCAGTAGATGAATGTATAAAAATGCAGTGGTACATATACACAATGGAGTACTATGCATCTGTAAAAAGAAAGATCTCTTATCCTTTGAGACGACATGGAGGGACCTGGAAAGCATCATCCTAAGTGAAACAAGCCAAACAGAGAAAGACAAGTGTCATATGATCTCACTTATTTGTGCAATATAATGAACATAACAGTCTGAGGAATGGGGTAGTCTCAGAGTCGTGGAAGTGGGGTACAGATTGACAATCCCCAGTAGAGGAGTTGGTGGGGGAGAGATAAACCACAGAACTTACATGCATGTGTGCATGAACAATGAACATGGACAACAAAGCTGGTGACAACAAAGTGCAGGGAGGGAGGGATGGGGGGAAGAAGAGAAACATATGTAATAAAAATAAATGAATTAAAATCAAAAAATTACATACAAGAGGTGATCAAATGACTCCTGAACACCATCTATGCACTCAACATGCTGTGTGGAGATACAAAGATGTATAAGAACAATTCTGCACCCCCGAAAAAGTATTTGTGACTAGTAAAGAGCATAAGTATGTGATGACTTATAAAGCAGGGAGGGTGTGGCAAGTGCTAAAGTGTTGATAGCAAGTCCTATGAACTGCACAGAGAGATCAGCTCTGGTTTGGTTACTAAGAAACCCTTTTTCATGGGGCAGCATAACACTTGTGCCTTGAAAGAAGGGTCAGATTTTTGTAGATGGAGAAGAGGCAAAAACAAGACCATTCCTTGAAGAGGAAAAGACCGGAGCTCAGGAATAAAGGTCACACAAGATGAGACATTTCTCCCACAGTCAGTAGGGTCTCCTATTGCTAGGACTTTCAGCATCTGTGGAGACCAGTGAGACACCAGTCTCACTTTAAAACTTATGAGTGGGGAGGGATACTAGGTTCAAACCCCAGCCCAGACCCTTGAGTGCAAATTTCTCATTTTATGGCCACAGAGTAGAGGCAGAATGAGTGAGCATTTTCAGCATGGCAAGTCTGAATGGGGAGGAAATGGGAGAAACTTAGGCTTTTTCATCAGGGTGTGGGCATTCTGAGGGGTGTGAGGATCCAGGTGCTATCAGCAGGGATGAAGAGCCAGAAAGAAAAGAAGCCAGGAAAAGAGTTGTCTCAGAGGAGTGGTGATAAGGGCAAAGACAAGACAGAGAGACTAAGGAAGTCTGAAAGTTATGATTTCAAATGAGGTGGCTCAAATATTTATACAGGGAAAGAATGGTTTGAAGGTCCTTTCTGGGCACCCCACATCCAGTCTGCTTTGACACTGATATCATTATAGGGAGAATGGATTAATTTGTCAAATGAAGTAAAAAGACAGGCAAAGACCATGGGCAGAATTCTGAGGACTAGCCACCCTCACTGGGCAGAAAGGTAAAAGGGGCTACCCCAGGCAGGAAGAGAAAAGAAGGGGCAGGTGGACAGATGTTTCAGAAGACATGGGAAGGAGAAACTTAAGATAGTGAAGACTCAAGAGTACAAAGAGCACAGAGATGTCTAGAAAGATGAAGACTGAAAATAAGTTATTGGCTTCAGTATTTGGGAGACAATCAGTGTTTTTAAGGGACTGTTCCAGTAAAACAGGCCTGAGGGTGGTGGACTCAAGGGCTGGCCAAGGAGAGGTAGCTGTTGTGTCATCCACATAGATCCAGAGGACATGGCCCATGTTGTGCAGAAGATATATAGAAGATGAGGGTAGTTTAAAGCATGCAAAAAAGCCTCAAAGTGATGGCTGGAGAGGGGCAAAGATTGGTAAGGATTTTTCCAGAAGGCAGGAGCAATGTGTGCTGAAGGATAGAGGTAAAGTCTGAGGGATGGGAAAGGCCATAAGGGTGTGTCCATCTATCCTTTTACAGGGTAACCTATCCATGGTCAATGCTCCACTCATTCAGTTATTGCTGTTGTTTCTTTCAATATAGAAACATCCAACACTTTCTCTGTAGGGTTGGCCTGAGTCTTACAGGCATCACTGAGCTACTAGGGCTGTTCTCAGACTTCTAATCTTTTTTTCCCCCCTTTTCTTTCAAGAATCAGAAATGGGCTTAAGGAGACTTGAATAAGATGTTCCACCAAAGACGTGACTGGTGAATCAGCTAGAACCCTTCCAAAAAGTGAACCAGCATGGTGTAGGGCAAGATTGGATGCTTGATAGTCCCACAGTTTATTTTAGGGCTGGCAGGATCAAGAGGGCCCCATTCTTTGTTTAATGCTTTACTGTCAGAGTTTTGAAAGTCTCAGTTAATTTGGAACCAGGGTGTCCTGTCCCATCTCTTGTCTCATGCACCTAGACAATATCCCCTCTTTCTGATATCTTTCAGCCGGGTTCCAATGAGTTCCAGTCCACATCTGCAGACCATGCCCCAAGCTGGCAGCATGCGAGGTTGCCTCCAGTGGGCAGGCTGTGCACAGCAGTCATAACCCCTGACAGTCCAGAGAGCCAGTGAATGTCAGGCCAGGGCCTGCCCTTCTCTCCCTGAGGACAGCCAGACTCTCTAATCTGATGATCTTTTCTTCTTCCCAGAAGAGCAGGCTTGCTGTTCTGGGGAGCTTCAGACCTGTTCTTCCAGTTTCTGTGGGGAAGCTGGGGAAGCTTTCCCAGGAGGTTCTGCTAGTCCCAGCTCTCAGGTTCAGGCATAAGGGAGCACTGACAGCAACCAATGTACTTACTCCCTTTCACTTTCACAGTGTCCAGGCCCCACCCACCTTGGTCACTGTAGGTCAGTACTGTCCAGACAATAAGTACCTGTCTTTCTCTCATGAGGCCGCCACCACATTTTCCTGCTTTTACCAGGGAGGCAAGACCTCCCTAGGTAGGTAAGTAGGATCTGAGGGTCTTGCTGAAGTGCAGTTACCTGCTCCTGGCTCAGGCTTCCCTGTTCCCAGCATTCTTAACCCTTTCAGCCCAAGTTTGGAGATTTCCAATTTCTTCAGCTTTGTTTAGAGCTTTAGACGCCCCCTCCTGGTGTTTCCTTGTGGGTGATCATAGCAGAGAGATCATAGATGGCAATGGATGTTATTTAAAAAAAAAAAAAGTTCACTCTCCACTATTTTTGGACCCACCCCTTTGCATTTTTGGTAAGTGAATAAGCAGAAAAAGTCAGAAAACTGACAGATTCCCATATCCTCCTCCCAGCTCTCCTACCCTGTCAGGCCACAGGGCCAACCCTCTTCAACGCCTTTTGCCATATAAATGACATTTTTATGCACATCTGTTTCATTCTGATCTTTCATCCAAAGGGGAAAAATCCTTAGCAAGACTCTAGTAGAATCCCCTTGGAACCTACATCAACGGCCAGGGAGGGCCCCGTTGTGCCCCTTTGGGGATTTGAGATGGACTGCCCCTCTGTGAAGCTAGACGAAAACAGACCAAACTGACTAATGTGCTCCCCAACATGCCTGCCCACAGAGGGGCTGGATGGGGTAGAGGGCTCACTGTCGTCCTAGCCACACCCTCTGTCTTCTGGGATGGAGCGAACTCTGCTTTCAGAGCTAAGGCAGGGTCTAGCGCGCTCTCTCTCTCTCTCTCTCTCTCTCTCTATCTCTCTCTCTCTCTCTCTCTCTCTCTCTCTTTGTGATCACATCTTTGGGAAAGTCCATGCCCTAGGCACTCCCTCTCAAAATCCTCCTCTTGAGGATACCTTCTCTCAGAATCCCCCAGGTCCAGGGCACTACCTCCCCTCATCCTTCATTCAAATCCCTCCTCCCCATCTCATCTTCGCAGAGTTCTACAATACAGGCTGTCCTTGAAATGAATGATAACAGCATATTTATGAAGAAAAGGAAAGCGGACCAAGAGATTAGGAAGAGCTGCAAGTATAGGGGCGCGAGTAGAGTAGACTGGAGTGTCCCCTTGCTGACAGAGGTGGTGTCTGCGCCAGGCAGTCCCGCCCCCCGGGACCGCCCGGGGCGGGTTGACTCATCCTGGCCAGGGCATCCCAGGAGCGAGGGCGGGCAGGAGGCGTCCCGAGAACCCAGTAATCCGAGAATGCAGCATCAGCCCTTCCCACCAAGCACTTCCTTCCTTTTCCCCAACGTCCAGGGAGGGCGGACTGCGCACTTATAAACTGGGCCCTGGCCTGCCGGTATATCAAAGGTTGCTTCGCCTAGGCTGCAAGCAGCGGCCAGACGCTTCTGTTCTCCTGCAAACGCGAACTGCTGTCGCCGCCTAAGCCCTGCGCCTTTCTGAACCGGCAGCTCGGACCGGTAGTGGCGCCTGCGCTCTCCGCAGAGTCTGCACGCCGCGTGCCAGGACAGCATGCTGCGAATCCTGCTCCTCAGCGTGTTGGGCCCTGCCGCCCTGGGGTTCCCGGCGCCCCCAGAGCCGCAGCCCCACGGAAGCCAGTGCATTGAACAAGACTGCTTTGCGCTCTTCCGGGGCCCTGCGAACTTCCTCGCCGCCAGCCAGGCCTGCCAGCGCCTGCGGGGCCACCTGATGACCGTGCGCTCTTCAGTGGCAGCTGATGTCATCTCTCTTCTACTGAGTGGCGACAGTGGCAACAACTCGCGCCTCTGGATTGGCCTGAAGCTCCCACCGGGCTGCGGCAACCCGGGGCACCTAGGTCCGTTGCGCGGTTTCCAATGGGTTACCGGCGACAACCGCACCAGCTACAGCAGGTGGATGCGGCTCCACCAGGACCACAAGCCTCTCTGTGGTCCGCTGTGTGTGGCCGTCTCAGCGGACGGGGCCTCCGCGCCAGGTGAGCCGTCCTGGGAGGAGCAGCAATGCGCCGAGGAAGCCGATGGTTTCCTCTGTGAGTTCCATTTCTCAGCCTCCTGTAGGCCTCTGGTTGTGGAGTCTGGTGCCACTGCGGCCTCCAGCGTCTCGATCAACTACAGCACCCCGTTCGGAGCCCGAGGTGCGGACTTCCAGGCGCTGCCAGTGGGTAGCTCTGCCGAGATGGCGCCCTTTGGAGTGGAGCTGGTGTGCGAGGGGAGTCCTGGAATGGCAGAGGCGAGCTGGAGCCGGGAGGTGCCAGGCGCCTGGGACTGCAGCGTGGAGAATGGAGGCTGCCAGCACACATGCAACCGGAGCTCCGGGGCGTCGCGCTGTCTCTGCCCCGCTGACACCACCACAATGGCCAATGGGCGCTCCTGCACTGCACCTGGAGAGCACTTGTGCCACAAACTCTGTGAGCACTTTTGTGACCCAAACGCGGACCTGCCAGAAGGCTACTCATGCATATGCGAGACAGGCTACAAATTGGCTGCCGACAAGCACCGGTGTGAGGACGTAGACGACTGTATGCAGGTGCCCAGTCCGTGCCCACAGGTCTGTGTCAACAAGCAGGGCGGCTTCGAGTGCCAGTGCTCTCCAGGCTACGACCTGGTGGACGGTGAGTGCGTGGAGTCTGGGGACCCATGCAGCGGAACTAACTGCGAATACCAGTGCCAGCCCTTGGGCAAAAGTAACTACAGCTGTGTCTGCGCAGAGGGCTTCACGCCCAACCCCCATGCCCCACACAGGTGCCAGATGTTCTGCAACCAGACTTCATGCCCAGCAGACTGCGATCCCAACAACCCGGACAGGTGCCAGTGCCCTGAGGGCTACATTCTGGACGGGGACTCCATGTGCACGGACATCGACGAGTGCGACAATGGCAACTGCCCCGATGCATTTTCGTGCAGAAACCTCCCCGGTACCTATGAGTGCATCTGTGGGCCTGACTCATCCCAGGTTGGCACCGACTGTGACTCCATCAATGTGAACGGCGCCGACAGTGGCTCTGGGGAGCCCCCGGTCAGCACGACACCTGGCAGCACCTCGAGCCCTACGCCAGCAGGGTCTGTGCATTCTGGCCTACTCATTGGCATCTCCATCTCAAGCTTGTCTCTGGTGGTGGCAATTTTGGCGCTCCTCTGCCACCTGCGCAAGAAGCAAGGCGCCATGCAGGCCCAGCTGGAGTACAAGTGTGGGGTCCCTGCCAAGGAGGTGGTGCTGCAGCACATGCGAACCCAGCAGATGCCTCAGAAACTCTGAGGGGTCTCCCTCCCTGGCCCCACGTGTTGGTTTGGCCTTTTCTTCCCTCCTGTGCCTCATATCCACCCCACCCCACCCCCATCCCCAGCCTTACTCCCTGGCTACCATAAAAGCACCTTAGCTGGCATCAGAACTGCAGAAGAACCCCCTACCCATTCTTTTGCTGATTCCAGGAATGGCTGGGGAGGAGGTATTGGAAGGAGGATATACCCAGTTACTTTCATAATGTCACCAGACTACTGGGCAGAGATGGCAATTTTAAAATGAAGATGAAGATTGCAAAGTGTCCCGTGCCCTCCACAGGGCAAGAAGGGTGAGCATTATTGGTCAGTGGCTTTTGGGCAGACTGATCTGATGGACTAGCGAGTGTAATTGTGTCATGGATGATGACTAATATATTTATTTTTTTAGGACTTTTTTTTTCTTTTTTTCCTACTTGTATGTCTTCTTACACACTTTGAGTTCCTCTCTCCCTTCCTACTCTCTTTCTCACCTTCTCTATCTATATATTAATATAGTCCCACTTGTCATGTGGTAGTTAAACTTGGTGAATTTTTTTTTTTTTTACCCTCTCGCATTTATGAAGCCAAGTCTCATTTCCCCCCTCTCAGTTCTCCCAATTTTCCCTTCCCAACACACCTGAGTCACCCTACCTGTCTCTGACCCTTCAACTTGTAGCTATCTGCCTAGGCAGAACTCTTACGTGAAACAGGAACAAAAACACTAAAAACAAAAATGGTTGGGCATTTGTTCTTTCACCAGATTTGCTAATTTTTCCTGAAGTTGCTGGACTGTCATAGAAATTCAACCCAAGGAGTTTTTATTTTTGTTTTTTTTAAACAGTGAGCCTGGGTTTTATTATTGTTGTTTTGATTTGGACTAAAGATAGTAATTGTTAAGTTTTATGCAGTTTCCTTTTTCATCATCATCATTATTGTTATTGTTATTATTATTAGTTATTTTAAACAATGTTGAAATGTTCACATGATTGCTCTAGATTGAACAAAAAAGAAAGCACCTTACAAGAGACAGTTTAAAAAAGTTTTGAGTTGCATAATTCATGCTAATTATCATTTTGATTTTCATTGGTTTTGCACTTTGTAGGCCAAAATAAAACCAGCTTTACTGTTTTTTGAACATTTGGGAGTTTTGGGATGGAGCCTAACAGATGTTCAATTTAGGGCCCAACCTTGATCAGGCCCTTGAGAATTTCTCCCACTTCAGAGGGACCTTTTAACCCCATTCACTCAGAATTTGCTCTCCACAAGAAACGGGGTCCGTCTTTCCCCACTCCCAGCAGCTGGTTAGAAATGCAGAAACTTGAACTCCACTCCACCTACTCCATGAGAATCTGTATTTTAACAAGATCTGCAGGGGGTTATCTGCCAGTATAGATTGAAGAGAACTGTTCCAGACAGCTTCAAACTTCTGGAATACACTAAATATGAATCAGTAGTAAGTAGCAGGCCAAGTCAGGCCCTTTGTTATTAAGAAACTGAGGAATTTTCATTTCCGGTAGAAAAAACTATGTACACCCTTTTAGACATTGCTAAACAGGGTTTTTGGTTCAACTAAGCTAGGGTTGAAATCATGAATGGGAAAAAGAATGTGTATCTTTTGTAACACAAAGATTTTTTTCTACTTTTTTGTAAACTCAGCATATTTATGTATAGTTATTTATTGGAGATAAAGTAGAACACAGGCAAAACTCTTGCTTATGACATCACATGTAGAAAATAAACAAATAACAGTGCTTTCTTGGGTTGTGTGTCTGTCTACCTCCCCTTTCCTAACCCACCAACTCCCATTTTACATCATTAAATAGGGTTATTGAACAATGCAAATACCATGAATTGCATTAAAGGCTGCTCCACACCCATTGCTAGCCTCCGTATGCTCATGGCATCATCTCTGACTTTCAAAGAGTTCTTTTCAGAGGAGATTGTTTTCACTGTAGAAGGACATTATGTTATATGTGTGTGAACAAATATTGTTTTCTGTTTTCTATAACCATAACAATTTCATACACAAGACTTGTGGCCATGGATTTTAAAACACATTATTGGATTATTTCTTGGGATGAATTTAAAAAAACAATCCTTCTTGCCCTGGCTGTTTTTTCTCAGTGTTTAGAACATCGGCCTGTGGTCCAGAGAGACCCGGGTTTGGTTCCTGCTAAGGGCAGGTGCCTCGGTTGCAGTTTGTCCCCTGGTTGGGTTGTGTGGGTGGCAACAACTAGATATGTCCCTTTTGTGTCGATGTTTCTCTCTCTCTCTCTCTTCCCCTCCCACTCTATCTGAAAAAATATTGAAAAGTGTCCTCAGGTGAGGGAAAAACAAAAAAGAAACAATACTTCTTGGGGCATCTCTAGAATCCTAGCTGTGTGTCCTTCTGCACATGATTTGGTATTATCTGCTCCCTGAGACATGCAAACACAACAGTCATGAGGGAGTTTCAGTCTGTGGCTCAGATTCAAACAATCATTTCCACATAACAAGGTCTCATGCAATATTAAATCATTCTCATTTCTTTGGTAATTAGAAATATTGTTTTTTTAAATATATACATCTTTTTGGCCCCTTTTTCTGGGTTGGTGGAACTGGCTGAATTTTATATGCAGCACTCTGAAAGTTTTCATAAAGCAGAAGTTAGGAGAAAATTGAATTAATCAAATATTCAAATATTTTTATACATCTGAGTAATGCTAAATTCCTCAGTTTTAAATTGAGTAATTACTTTTGCAAAGGCATAGTTGGAGATTTCAACATCCATTTTGGATGAAGTTGACAGCTTTGGCATGTGGGGGTGAGAGGTGGGTGCTACTATGAGCAGTGCCCTACCCAGATAAGTGGTTGAGCAATGTTGCCCTTTGAACTTTGGTAGACTAGAAGAACACCAACTTCAGTAGTAGGTACATATGAAGAAAGAGCTCACTGAATGGGGCAAAGAAGGTACAGATAAATTGTGCTGGTTAACCAGAGGAGAGAGGGGTACCTTATAAATTTGTCCACACTACCCAGCCTTCCATTTTTCAAAAGGGTCTTCTCCCAACTAGCTGTCAAATTGCCTTTCGAGGGCCCATTACTTTAGGTCTTCTTGCTCCAGAGGGGGGAACATTTTCTTAAGAACATAAGAAGACCAAAACACACTTTTAAGACCTGGAAACAAGAACTCTTACCGGGGCATCTTGTACTACAGAACACTGGTGGGGTGATGATCCAGCCCCTCCTTATCCTCCTCACTTCCTATTGCCTGGGAGATCAACATACAGGCCTTGTCTAAACTTAAGATTCTCAAAATAATTAAGACACCATAGCCCCTCTCTGAGAAGGACACCAGGACCATATAAACAAGAAGTTAGCTAAAAGACTATCCCCCAGCATTCAAAACCAGCGTAGCTCCTATGGAACAGGATCCACAAGTCAGCCTTTATAGTCTCTGCTTTTTGTTCACATCATTGGACATCCAAGACTGAAAGGGAATCTCAAAGCTCAAGTGCTACATGTTTGTCTATAATGTTCCACAGTGAGCAGGGCCTGGAGGAGAAGGCCAAAGTAATACTTCTAAATAAATCAAAATTTGATTTTATGAATCTAATGGCTTTTTATTCTTTCTTTTGGACCTAATTTATGTTCTTGCATTAGTTCAGCAAATATTTATTGAGCAGGTAGTCTGTTCCTGGCATGATGATAGTCAGGGTGATAAGCCCCTGACTTGAGAAAGTTACACTCTGGTGGGGGAGAGAAACTAAAACAAATGATCACCCTCTAATGGTATTTAACTTAGAAATAGTGATAAGAGCTGGGGAAGAGAAGTACAACAGTGAATTAGGAATTAGATTAGTGGACTGGAAAACGTCTCTGATGAGCTGACCTTAACGCTAGACCTTAAGGAGTAGCAGGGCTTAGTGAACTGCAGAGTGGCAGGGAGAACAGTCCACTTAGAAGGAACTTCGTGTGCAAATGCCCTGAACTTGGAAGAGTCTTGGCAGAGTGCATGGAGCATAGTGAGCAAGGGGAAGGGTGGCCAAGATGAGGCTGAAGAGATAGAAATGGAGATGTAAAAGAGCAGGGACTGTAGGCCACTGTAAAAGAGGTTGACTTCTAGGTGCAAGTATGTTACTCAAGGAGTTTTAATAAGAGTGTGCTGCTGTTTGGTTTGTAAACTGAAACTGTTTGGAAAGGTAACAATTCTAGACTTATTTATGTGTCACCATAGGCAGATAGCTGCAGTTTCCCTTTTAAGCATAATATGTGAATGTCATATATATCTAGATTTAACCATGAGCATCATGAAACCCCCTAAGGTTATAAAAACTGGTGCTAGCAGTGCCACCTCACAGAATTTCCATAAAGAATAGATGAGGTGAGCTAGCACAGGTTCAGGCACACAGCAGGTGCCCAAAAAATGCTAGTTTATATATCACTAAATTAGTGGATGCATTAGTGAATACTGAAAAAGGTTATGTCGAGATCTTGAGATCTTAAGGTTCTTGAGGGCAAATTCAAGGTCATGCAGAAAGTGGAAAGTATTGTTTCAAGGCAAGGCACAGTCACTTAAAGTGAATGCTGTCAATCCTAGAGGAAGCATCATGATAGGATTTGGGACATTAGGCAGAGCTTAAAAAGGGATATGTTGGCACAGGGGGAGAAGTGGTCCCCGGAGCTATAAAATCCTGCTTCCAAGTGCTATTGACCCTTCTCACAAGGCCCATCAAAAATGGGGTACAAAGGTAATCTCCATTGTGTTCTCAGGGAGGCCACAGAGAAGGGGAGAACACACCCTAAAGTATACTGCTTGCTTTCTTGGGACCCAAAGGAGAAAGAAAATTGGCTCCAGCCCAGGCAGAACCCAGGGCTCCTGTGGAGAGGACACCCCCAAACTCTCATCTTCACCCTCAGCTGCCATGTGGGAACCCTGAAGTTTAGCAACACCAAAGAGGAACATGCAAAAGAGAAAAGCATCAGTTCAAAATGATGCACACAGGCCTAGTTGTGCACACACTCTCACAGTGGGACCTTGGGGCAAATCCTAACATTTCTCAACTGTCTGCTAACTGGGGCATTATAAACAGGTGGTAGGCCTGGGCAACAACCCCACATCCCCCACCCCACCCAGGGAAGTCACTGACACCTCTGTGACTCATTCCCATGAGTGGATTTTCCCTATTGCACGTCAGAGACTGACCACTCAAAAACAGTGACTGCTGCCATTTTCATCTTCTCAGGGGAAGTGGCATCATTAACTAAAGTTCAGGGGTGTTTTGAAACTCTCTATCAGGATAATGTACACACATTTGTTCTTCTTTCTCTTTCTCTGTGGGGGAAAGAGGAACCTAAGATTCAAGTGGAGATAGCTCATTGATTTGAGAATAAAAACATTCTGGAAAATGCTTGCCATTAGAACCAGGCCTCTGAAAGAGCTGGCTAGGCCCAAACACTGGCTACTGAACTTTATTTTATTTCTTTTTAAAAATTATGGTATAATTAACATACAGTAAAATTTACTCCTCTTAGTGAACAGTTCCTAAAGACCACATATACTTCTGACACCACTGCCATCATTAATATATAGGACATTTTCATCACACTAGAAAGTTTCCTGGGACCTTTCCCCCTTTGCTCCCTTAGAGTGGTCTACATACATGATGAGGCTTTTTTCCTATGTCCCACCCTCCTTCAACCTCTCTCCACACAAAGAATCCTATTTTCATGTTTGAATCACAAAGATAAGTTTTTAAGCAATACAGAAAGCCTGACTCTTCATTTTCAACAAATAGGTTTTAATGAAACCCAGATCATATATCTCCCAGTGCCCTACTCATTCACCCTGAGTTCTGCACTTGATCTACCAAAAATCCTGGCAGACCACCAGAAGTGTGTAAATAAGCAAAAAAAAAACAAGACAGCAAATCACCACAATCACAAATTTTCAGGGGGGAGTGGGAACCAAAGGAGTGCCATCAGGAAGTAAATAAGGTATGTACAAAGGAAATGAGGGTGTTGCCCACTTGCATTTCATGTGGCAAACTACTGCACTCCTTCCTGAGGCTCCTGGGTGATATATGGACAGGGCCAGGTGAAAGAGGATTCCTCAGTTCTAACTTTTGGGGACTCCTGTTGCTCTTGTGTTAAATATGGGTTATTATATTATCTCTTCAAGAAAGACTGAGGTTACAAAGAATATATGAAAGTACATTTTTACTGTGGTCATGGCTCAGGGTTGGTCCCCCAGGCTTCTTTGAAAATACAACTGCTGACATTTTCAGGCATTTCTTCATAAAATAAACAGGTAATACCCACCTCTTTCCCTTCCTTCCTTCCTTCCTTCCTTCCTTCCTTCCTTCCTTCCTTCCTTCCTTCCTTCCTTCCTTCCTTCCTTCCCTCCCTTCTCTCTCTCTCTCTCTCTCTCTCTCTCTCTCTCTCTCTCTCTCTCTCTTTCTTTCTTTCTTTCTATCAGAATATGTGCCTGGGTTCAGCATTCTTTCTTTCTTTGTTTTGAGAGGGATCTTTATCCCTTTTTTGGTCAGCAGGTTCAGATGTAGGCAAACAACTGGTTTCCTCTTACAAGAGAAAATAAATAGTATTTTAACTGAATCAAAATTCTTTTAGGAATGTATTGAAAGTGTGTTTGTGAAAGACAAAGGAACCCTACGGTGCTCCAAGTCAAGCCCTTGGAAATAGGGGCAAACAGCAAAAGTGTTTCAAGGACTCAGTGAAAAACATCAAGAGTCTAACTTGGTGTCCATGACAACAATGATTTTCTCCTGTGGGGCTATAGGCCAGACATTTTCAGGAGCCTGAAATAAATATGTTTTAAAAATAGGACATTTCATGACCAATATTATCCTCAGATGAAACCTGCTCTTTCTGCATATTTGATATATGGCAGCTGCTCTCCGTCACCCTCCTGGCACCTTCTTCAGACTTCACATTGAGGCTGGCAATAACTTCTCACTCAGCGCTGGAGGACTCAAGGAAACTTTTTGTCAACCACGCAGGGAGGAAGAGAAGAGCTTTTCCACAGTATTCCCAGTACTCTTGTCTTCCTTCTGCTTCCTGCCTTAATGTCATTTCATTTTTTGAGAATAGGGACC